AGCTGGGTTCTGCTCGTTGAGGGGGTGGTCTGCAGGACAGGTAGTGGGGATGAGAGGGACACTCTGGGCCAGCGTTGGCTCTGCACCCACCACTCCTCCTCCCAGGGCAGGAACCCCACAGCCCATGGCTGAGATCTCAGTGGGTCCCTCCCGGGACGCAGAGCCCCTGCCCATAACGGGAAGGGAGGAGACAATGTGGCTTCCAGGCCCGCTGGGACCCCGAGGCTCCAGCAGAAACACAAGGAAGATGCCACCAACAAAGCACCTACAAGGACTCACAGGCCCCATGGCTCTCTGGGCTGCAGGGGAAGGAGGGGCGAGGGCGTCTGCCCACGGTGACAGCCCCTCCTCCAGCCACGCCAGCTGCCTCCACCTCGGCAGAGCACAGCGCTATTTCTGACTCAGCCCACAGCAAGGACGACGGGGCACGGGGAGGAGGTGCCGTGCTAATCAGGCAGGCGGGCAAGCCACGGACGGACAGACTCAGCTATCCATGCGACCCGTGCCTGTCCCCAGCCCCCACACGTCACCTGCCGGGACCCAGGGCACTGGCACATTGGGAGCCGAGGTGACCAGCATGGCAAACAGAAGAGCCACTGCAGGGAACGGGTAGAGAGGCGAGACACAGCGGAGCCGCTGCCCACGGGGGCCCTGAGAGGTGGATACCTGAGCAGCCAGCAGAAAAGCAGCCCAGGGCCCTCAGACCAGGGCAAGCCCCTCATCACCTGTGGGACTGCCCAGCTGAGGGTCTTGAGCATCCCCATGGAGCCGGGCAGCCTCAAGCTCTGGCCACCCCAGCAAGCTGGCCCTTCATGTCATGGGGCCAGGGAAGAGCCAGGCTTGGCTCCCTCCACCCAGACCCCTGGTGGGGTCCCACGATCCCCTGCGTCCAGCCCAGGGCTCTTCTGCCTGGGGAGGGCTGAGCCGCCGCAGGTGGGTGGGAGGACACACACCAGAAACCTGGGGCCAAGAGCCACACCCCGAGAGAGTAAGCCAGAGGCCACCTTGTGAGAAGGGACTCAATGCACTGCATAGGGGCCACCCGGCAGGGACCACACCCAAGAGAGCACACATCAGCTGGAAACACACCTGCACTGCATCTCAGAGCGCCTCTCCCAAACCCTCCCAGGGATGCTGAGGCAGGAATCACAGTGACAGCAAAGGGCACGAGGGCTCCTGGCCAGAGCCAATCGGGGCATCCCCAGGCCGAGGGCCCCCCACCCGACACCCAGCCCCCCTCTGCAGCCTGAATAACCCCAGTGTCGGCCCCTGGAGGGGTGGGATGCGGGAACACCGTACACATGACTTGGGAGGCCACGAACACAGCCCCGACGCTGGGTCAGTAAGATGTAGACATGGTGACTGGTCCTTTATTTAAGGTTTTTATGCACAAATAGGGAACCCAAATTAAAAAGAAAAACTCACTACCCAAAGAACTCAATTCATTATAACGCTCAGGTTCATTCCGAGCAGCTGTCCGGTGCTCCTGAGGAAGCATCCCTGTGCCGCGCGTTCACACGTGACACCGAAATGTGAAACCAGCCTGCAGGTGTTCTGTGGCGTGGGCCGCCCGTGCCTCCCCACCGCAGCCACTCCCGACAGACCGACACCAAGGCCCAGAGCCGTTCAAAGGGAGTGACGTCGCCCCCAACTGGAGAAGCCAGACCCTCGCAGGGTGGAGTTGTGGGGGAGAAGCCGATGGCGGCATGACGGCCCCAAATCCCTGTGTGAGGCCGGAGTGTGGCAGGCCTGGGGACCGCTGAACCCATGGGCTTGAGGGGACAGAGGAAAGGGACAACACAAGATGGGAAGGAGGCCTCTGTAGGGGGAGGCCTGTGGCCACGGGAGCTCTGAGAAGCTCAGACCACAGCCGGCAGGTCAGTGGGACCCACACTTCCCCTCAGGGACAGTCACATGGAGCCCTGGTCAGCAGGGGAGCATGCAGCTTAGGCGGACGGTGACAACATCCCGCTGTCCCGAACAGAGGGCACACGCTCCTCTTTGGAGTCACCTGGCCTAGTCCCCTCACGGGGACTTGAAGCAAAGGAGCAGGTGACTAGCACGCAGGATGTGCTGGGGCCTTTCTAGATTCGAGGTTGGCCCTCAGCACCTACGAGGTGGGTCTGTCACCGCTTTACGGACCAGGAGACTGACGGTCAGAGAGCACCCACAGTCATGCAACTCATGGGCGAGGAGGCAGCAAAGACCCCACACCCAGGCAGCCGCAGAGCCCACGGGCCCCAGCTCCACTGCCAGGCCTGCCTCCGTCAGCGGGGCAGGGGCAGTCTCCCCACGACACGCCCCGAGCACTCGCTTATGCCAAGCGCCATCTAGCATTTCACATCTATCACCTCGCCCAGACCTCAGAGCTGCCGGAACTCAGGAGGCATGGTATCCTCCCCAGGCAGCTGCTAAGCCTGGCCCAGAGCGGCCAGCTGTCTAGCCAAAGCCACCGGCTGGTGGGGAGCAGAGCCCTGGAGCCCCACTCTTACCCACCTGCTGCCCGTGCCCACGGCCACCAGGTCTGGCTCCCCTCCCGTGTGGACCACTCACAGCTCTGCCCCGGCAAGGCCACCTGCTCCACCTTCAGGTCGCGCTGCTGGTGCTCTGAGCTCTGCGTCACGACCGGGCCCCTTCCCCACCCGTGGCTTTCGGGTCCTTGTCCCCAGATGCCAGGGAGCCCTCTGCACCCGACCCCCTCAGTCAGTGAAGGAGGATCTTCCCTGGGTTTACGCCTGGCCGGGCACTGTGGTCACCATCCTCAGACCCCGGCAGCCAATGCCGCCTGCTGCGCTGTGGCGACCTGGAATTCTCTAAACACCTGGGACTCAGTGTGAGGTGCAAGGTGACAAAGTTTCCTGCTGAGCGCTGGACACCGAGCGAGTGCAGGTCCCCAAATCCACTCAGCCGCTGCCAGCTTGTGCTGCGGGGCTGCAAAGACCCCGGCCGGAAGACCGGGAAGGACCTGCCGGGGAATGCCTGGGTGGAACCAACAGGCCACACGTGGGCGGCAGGAGATGGAGATGGAGACAGGAGGGGCTTCCTGTGCTCCAGGGCTGAGGCAGGACTGCCAGCCTGAGGGTCCCCAGAGTGTGTGTGAAACAAGGTCAGCAGGAGCGGGTGGGGCCTGGACTCTGCATCCTAAGGGTGCCCTGGTGCTGCTGTGGGCCTGGGGCCACCCCAAGGGTGGGTTGCAGCCTCAGCCCTGCTCTGAGGGGTGCGGCAGGAGGAGAGGACTGCATGGGGGGGCTATGTCGTCACACAGTAAACCCTGCAGCAGTGCCGGGCCTGCCACTCCTGCCCGTTCCCGGGTAGGGACCCTGGCCTCCTGGCCCTGAGCACGCTGCTGCCCCACCCCATCCATGCAGGGCACAAGGACATGTGGCATCTCACTGACGTGCGCCTGGCCCACTCGGCTGGCCAGCCCGGGAGGAGTCCCAGCCCTCCAGACCTGCCCCGCAGGTGCCATGCTCACCTGACTAATGAGGAAATGACAACTCTGGGAAGCTAAGCAGACCAGGGACACCGTCCTGGGCAAGTGCACCCCAACAGACAGGGCAGCACAGGGAGAGACAGAGGGGCCGAGGAGGGGCCCAGAGGGGCAGGAACCACCAGAACCCCGCTGCAAACCAGAAGACCGCATGGTCGTATCATCTGGAGAACAGAAAGCTGGCGAGTGGAGAGGTCCCCCATCAGTCACCTTTGCAATCACCTGACATATGATACAGTGTGTTTCAAAACTCAGGGAAGATTCTAGCATTCTGGGAGGCCGAGGCAGGCAGATTGCTCAAGGTCAGGAGTTCTAAACCAGCCTGAGCAAGAGCGAGACCCCGTTTCTAGTACAAATAGAAAGAAATGAATTGGCCAACTAATATATATAGAAAAAATTAGCCGGGCATGGTGGCGCAAAAAAAAAAAAAAAGCTCAGGGGAGAGTGAGCTTCATAAGTGAAATGCTAAAATGCTGGTTCCACTGCAGATGAATGGATTCAAGTAAGATCAGCTAGGCTGACGCCACTGCCGCCAATGCACTCACGACAACCTAGCCAAAAAATGTATAAAGAAAAAAAAAAAAAAAAAAAAAAAAAAACCTCAGGGAAGAGGGGTTCGCTTTAAAAACATAGTTGTTCAGGCTGCTGTGAAAGAATTAGAAGGAAACTGATCCAAATGACCACTGCCAGATAAAACATAAAGGACCAGCTCGGCTTTATGGCAATTTTTAAAACCCTGAGAGAGCTGAGCACAGTGGCTCACATCTGTGATGCCAGCACTTTGGGAGGCCAAGGAGGGAGGATCACTTGAAGCCAGGAGTTCACAAGCAGCCTGGACAACATAGTGAGACTCCATCTCCACAAAAAATTAAAAATTTAGCCAGGAGTGGTGGTGGCACCTGTAGTCCCAGCTATTTGGGTGTCTTGAGCCCAGGAGTCTGAGGCTAGCTACAGTGAGCTTTGATGACACCACTGAACTCCAACCCAGGAAAGAGAGCAAGACCCTGTCTCAAAGAAAATAACAACAACAAAAAACCTTAAAATACTTATTGGTACAAAATTATAAAGTGCTGACCTCCTCTATTATATGTAAAGCACTCAACCAAGTTTAAGAAACGAACACTGCCTCAAATACAAGGACAAGCCACGAGAGCACAGCGAATATGCAGAAACAGTTCAATCCTGTTGGTCGGCAGGGAAGGCCAAGTCCTGTGGCTCCAGTCCCCAGGAAGGACTCGGTTCCACTGTGGGCCAGGGTGCAGGGCAGCCCCCGCCCTGAGGTTCCCAACAGCAGCAGGTCTTATAATCAGGAAGGCAGCAAAACACAGCCCAGAGGCAAAAACAAAAGCTGCAATGTGCTCTGGGGAACTCACACTGAGAAGCAGCCAGTGGGGCATCCAGTGCTCAAAGGACAGAGGGACAGTGAAAGCCACCAGCACCCTGCTCGACCCCAGGCCTGCGAGCCGTAATCTCAAAGCCAGCCCAGCACCCGCGAGGCAAGCGGCCTCACCTCTCCTGATGGAAGTGACGCTCCTCGCGTCCAGCTCCAGGCTCTGCACCAAGGCACTGGGGTCTATCTTGGTCCTGGCAAAGACGTCAGTGTTGACGAAAGCCCAGTCCTAATGTCCCAAAGAAAAAGGGAAAAAGAAGACGTGAGCTTTGCTCCGTGGTTTGAGAGGGAAATGCAAGGCAGGGAGAGGACGCACAAGGACCTGGGTCCCCTGGCTTCTCTGCCCAGGACCCAGAGAGGGAGCCCCGGCTCGGGGCTGTCTCCTTCCTGCCTCAAACCCCAGCTGGGCTTTGCTCCGGGCTCTTTGGGAGTCAGGGTCAGTGCTGGTCACAAAGGACAATTTCTTTATTTCATTCTCTCCACGCCTCTCCCGTCAGAACCATGCTGCACCTCAGCGGCCGCGTGCCGAGTCACATTCACCCTACACCCGACTCAACCCTCCAAGTCACCTACTGGCCACGCTGTGATGAGCTAGAAGCCCAGCCCCCCACTCCCCTGCCCGCCCAGCCCATTCAAGTCCAAGCACCATGACCTTGCAGGGCCACAGCGACCCCAGAGGTGGTTTCTGAAGGATGGCAGAATACACTGCACCAAAATAGACCACTTTGGCAAAAGGATCATTTAGATCTAAAGGTTTGGCAAAAGGATCACTTAGATCTAAAAGCACTTTAAAAAGCAGCAGGAACAACAAGGGCACTCTGGCCTCCCTTTTCCCCTGAAAGTAGGAGATAAAACCCCATGTGGAAGATGCCATCCCTACACCAAAGGAAAGGGACATTCCCATCAATGAAGACTAAAAGTCAAAGCTGAGAGAATTCTGTACAAACAGACCTGGTTGAAACAATTCTCGCCTTCCTTTAGCTTCCCCGTGTAGATTGGTCACATCCCCCAACTGCCTCTCTGTCCAACCTCACGAGAGAGCTCGTGGCTTTGCCACTTCTCGGGCTTGCTCAGGAGGCTCCTGGGCCGTCTAAAACCTGGTTGATAAATGTGTCTGCTTCTCCCCTTCAACCTGCCTCATGTCAGTTTTATTTTTTTTATTTTTTGAGACAGAGTCTTGCTTTGTTGCCCAGGCTAGAGTGAGTGCCGTGGCGTCAGCCTAGCTCACAGCAACCTCAAACTCCTGGACTCAAGCGATCCTCCTGCCTCAGCCTCCCGAGTAGCTGGGACTACAGGCATGCGCCACCATGCCCGGCTAAATTTTTCTAAATATATTAGTTGGCCAATTAATTTCTTTCTATTTATAGTAGAGACGGGGTCTTGCTCTTGCTCAGGCTGGTTTCAAACTCCTGATCTCGAGCAATCCTCCTGCCTCGGCCTCCCAGAGTGCTAGGATTACAGGCGTGAGCCACCGCGCCCGGCCTATTCAGCCTTTAAAAAGAAGTCCGTCCTGGCTAGGCACGGTGGCTCACCTGGGCTGGCCAGCACAGGGTTGAGAGCCAGGGCTGTCAGGGAGCCAATGTTGGGACTGGCAGCAAAGGTGGCGGATGCTGCCCACCAAACCACCACCTCACTGGAGAAACTTACAAATCTCGCCAGGAGCGGCAGGAGTCAGTGGCCATGACCTGCTCTCTAGCCCCATCGTATAGAAACCATCCAGGAGTTCTCTCCCTTCCCTCCAGTCCAGGGCTATGATTCTACTCTGGGAGGGGAGGGGCAGGCAGCTGGAGTCCCCCTTGACCTCCCCTGGCACTATGTGGCACAGACTCTATTCTATTCCAAGCAGGAGGCCAGAGGACCAGGGCTCCCTGCCCCCACCTCACCCTATGGCAGAAGCTCCTCCCCAGGCAGGGATGGTCAGAAACTAACCCTAACCCTGATCGGCCCCATCCCAGCTCACTAGCAGGGTGGAGGCTCCAATGAGCCAAGAAACAAGACTAAGGTACCCCCCCCCAGTCGAGGGGTGTCATCTGAGATGCTGAAGCTGTCCCCACCCCCATCTCTGGTGACCTGACACAGAGCTCCCCCCCAGAGAGGTAGGTCATAAGGAGGAAGAACTTTACAGTCTGCCAGCAGGGACTGACTTCACCTGGAACTAATGTGGAGATGGCAGGAGGGGGCTCTAGGTAGCCAGGGATCCGGAGGCTCCTGGGTACTGATAGCAACTGGCTAAGGCACAGCAAGCCAAGGAATGACACAGCCAAGAGCCTCAGAGGCCACAGGCAAGGCTGGCTCCAGGCTGCACCAGCTCAGGAGCAATCAGCCAGGCAGGCACACCGGAAAGCACATGCCTTGTAGTCCCAGCTACTCGGGAGGTTGAGGCAGGAGGATCGCTTGAGCTCAGGAGTTTGAGGTTGCTGTGACCGAGGCTGATGGCACGGCACTCTAGCGCAGTGCAACAGAGCAAGACTGTCTCAAAAAATAAATAAATAAATAAAATGACAATGAGATACCACCTCACATCCACTAAGATGGCTATAATCAAAAAGACAGATAGTAACAAGTGTTGATAAGCACAAGAAGTTAGAACCATCATCCATTGATGGTGGAGATGTAAAATGGTGCAACCACTGTGGAAAACAGTCTAACAGTTCCTCAAAAAGCTACACAGTTGCCATATGACCCAGCAATTCCACTGCATAGCTCCACAGAAACTTTGATACACAAATGGTCACAGCAGTATTATTTATAATAGCCAAAAAGTGGAAATAACCAAAACATCATCAGCTTATCAATGGATAAACAGTGTGATGTGGTATGGTATACCTAGACAATGAAATATTATTCAGCCATAAAAAGAATTAAAAAATTAATGCTGCTACAAAAAGAATGCTACATGGATGGACCCTGAAAGCATGCTAAGTGAAGGAAGCCAAACACAGAAGGCCACATATGATTCCATGTATATGGAATGTGTAGAATAGGCAAATCTAGAGAGACAGGAAGTAGATTAGCTGTTGCCAGAATGACTGATGAAGGCTTTTTCTGGAGGTGATGAAAACATCCTGAAAGTTGTATTGTTGGTTGCACGACTTTGTAGATACACTATAAAAAACATTGACTTGTACGCTATAATTGGGTGAATCATTTGACACGTAAACTGTATCTCAAAAAAAATTTTTTTTTAAGCTGGGGCTTTGGAGCCAGATTCTGAGTTTGAATATCAGCTCCACCACTCAGTAGGCAAACATCCTTGGTGATTTATCCAACTCTCAGATTTCTCCCCTTCACGATGAGGGTTAGGTCTGCTGAGAAGATGTAAAGTGCAGGCACATAAAGTGCCTAATAAACATGACTATTTTATTAGCATTCCTGATGCAAAGCCATGGCCTCCAGGTACCAACAATGTTTTCTCTGCTACTCCCACGTAAGCCTCTGGGTTACTGACACCAGTAAATGCTTCCAGGGCAGCTCAATGATTAGCATGGGAATAAATAAAATGCGGCTTATCTATATAGTCGAATATTATAATCTTCAAAAGAAATAAAGTACCGATAGATGCTTCAACCTGGATAAAGCTTGCAAACATGTCAAGTACAAGAGGCCAAACACAAAAGGCCACAATCTTCATGATTCCATTCGTATGAAACGCCTAGAATACAGACAGAAAGCGGACTGGAGGCTGCTTCGGGCTGGGCGGGATGGGGGCACAGGGAGATGACTGCTGAAGGGTACAAGGTCTCTGCTCAATTTGCTCTTCGCTTTTAACCTGGAAACTTCCTTTCCTCTCCTGGGGGTGCTCAGTGCGATTCTAGGGAACCTCCGCCACATCCGTGTGGCACTTCCAAACTCTGGTGGAAGGTTTCCCGGTTCTCTCCCCACAGCACTGGGAAGGATACTAGTCGGCCCCTCGTGGGCGCGGGAGCGGAGCCTCGGAGTCCACCACACTTCGCCCGCCGGTCCCTCAGAAACACCGGCAGAGCCCGGGGCGGGCCCGGGTCGCGGATCCCCAGGAGGCGGCGCCAGCAGCTCGCGCGGCCCGAAACCCACGCGGCGGCCCGACCCCAGCCCGCGGCGAACCCGCCGGCGCGTCCCGCCCGCGCTGCCGCGAACTTACCTTCCCCCCGGCTCCGGCAGCCGGGGCCTGCGAAGGGGCCGCCTCCTGGACAAGGGGCGCAGGGCCAGGCGCGGCCTCCCCCTTCGGCCTCACGGCAGCCTGGTGCACACGGGCCCGCAGGCCCCTCACTTTCCCCATTTTCCCTGGCAGAGACCCTCGGCCTCCCCCGCGCATGCGCAGGAGGGCCTTCCGGAAGCCGGTCCTTCGCTCTAGCCGCCGCCGGGCGGAAACAAGCGCTGCGCTGCACCCCGTTCCGCCCGGAAGTGCCCGGGTCCGCGTGGCGCTGCGCCGTGGCCACGCGCGGGGAAAGCGCGGGCGTGTCTGCTCCCGACGCTTGTCCCGGGAGAGCGGGAGGATCAGAGTGCCGGGAGTGAGACCAGCCTGGGCAAGGCAGCGAGACCCCATCTCTACAAAACATTAAAGAGTTAGCCCCGAGGGGTGGCGCTCACCTGTAGCTTGGGAGGAATGCCAGGTTACAGTGAGCTATTTTTAATTGATCCTTTTAGTCACACCAATCAGACCTGACTTTCTGCCTCCTTGGCACCTCACTCCTTTCGGGAATAAAGACCCTGAAGCTTGCCCCTCACTCCCTCCAGCTCTCACCAGCGGCTGCAGAGGGGCCTTGGCTCCATCAGTGCCCTCGTCACTTGTCCCCACTCCCCGGCCATAACAGACATGCAGTCATGGCTGTCGCCTTGTACATACAAACGGGCTTTCCAAAGAGAGAGTTCAGGAAAGAGTTAATGTGTGGCAACAGACATGTATAAAAAGTTGAGGGCCAGTGGTCTGGCGCTGTACACCCACCAATGCCGGAAGACTGTGTCTGGAAGAACATGGCCACAGGTGGCTTTCAGCTGTGGGGCATGACCCAGATTCATGAGGGGTGCTGAGAGCCCCTCAGAGGGGTCAGTGGCACCCTCCAGGGCAGCCACCAGCAGGCGCAGTTTTCGTCCAATGTAAAGGCCATGTCTAGGATGGGTGGGCTTACCTGCAGGCTTCATGGGGCTGAGGCAGCCGAAGGCCTGGTCCCACGGGAGACCAGGCTGTCACCTATCAGGACCAATGTGGCACGTGTGGGGACCCCAAGGGCCAAGAGACAACAGTGATGACAAACGCCAGCCCCAGCTTCGAGACAGACACTGCACCCCCCCCCCCGGCCGTATGGACGTCCCCACCTGCCCCCAGCTGTCTCCACGCAGCTCAGCAGCGCCAGGGGCCTCTCTACGGGACTGGAGCCACAGGTCTCCACTCTGCACCGGGGGCTGGAGCTGGCCTGCGATGAATCACGCTCGTACTTGGTATCTGCCACCTTGGGATGCGGGGAGCGGGAGTCCGGTGAGGCCCCTGCAGACCTGCTGGGCCTCGAGGGACCTCACGGCTGCCCAGAGCCAGACTGCATGGTACTGCTCTGACCCAGGGGATCACTGGTGCCTGTGGGGGCAGTCTGGGTCCTCAGGAAGGCCACCCTGTGTCCACATCAGGAAGATCGCAGATGCCCAAGGTCGGGGGCCCAGCATGAGTGTGCCGGATCCTCGCAGAGCCCGAGTTGGGCTTGGAACCCTGCAGGTGCAGGGGGTGCCCTGGAGAGGGTCTCCACAGACTCTGCACACTCCTCACTCCCTTCCCTCAGCCCTGGATGGTGCACGCCGGCTCCAGATTAGGAAGAGGCTCTGCTCAGAAGCCTTGTGAGTGTGCTGCCTCTGACCAGGGTCTGCGTCAGGACCGCCAGCGTGAGAGAGGCACCTTCCCCTGCACCAAGAACCGGCAGGCGGCTGGGTGTCCACGGTTCCCCTTGGGCCCGTGGGAGGACGGAGGATAGACCCCTCCACCTCAGGCCCCTTCTGGGTCCCAGGCCTGGCCCCCCTGGCCTCCAGGACTGCCTGTCCCAAGGATTCCAGGGACCCTGCCGCTGGGTGTTCTCTGGTCCTCTGGACATTCTTGGGGCTGCAGCTGTGGGCTGGGCCACGGGAGAGCCCATGCAACTCCCAGGGGAGGGGGAAGTGTCCCTCTGTGAAAACAGAAAGCAACTCCCCACTCTGAGCCAAGGGTCTCCTGTCAGAAAACCCACAGGCATCTGTTCCCTTTTTCTTGGTGCAGGCTGGGACAGGCAGGCAGGTCTCAGCACAGCTGAGCAGCTGGGGACTAAACCACATCCCCTGAGAGAGGCCCAGCTCCCTCCATGAGCTCTGGGGAGGGGGCTTCTGTACCCGCTAGTCCCCCTACATGTGGGTCCCTCCCAATTGGCTCCTCCCATGCACCCTTCGGAACATTCTCCTTTCTCAGAGAAGTCTGTCCAGGTATCACTTCCTCCAGGAAGCCTTCTCAGATTTCCCCAATTGGTAGTGAGACTTGCCACACCGTTGTGTGCATAGCTCCTTCCCTGGAATTGTAAGGACTGGTTTTCCTCTCTCCTAGAGGACAAGATGAGAGTTTTCACTTGGGTCCCCTGGTGGAAGCCCAGCTCCTGACACACCTGTAGAGGTTTTCAAAAAGAAGAACATGGGGGAGGGACGTGGATAACAGTCCCAGCCCCCTGCTCCACCTGAGCTAGGAAGGTTCTCTGCAGTGAGTTCCAGTCAAGCTCACGGGGAGCTCAGTAACAACCTCACACACGGAGGTGCACAGCCTGCTGCCCTCACAGCCCCGTCCTGCTCCGAGCCCAGGCCCTTGGCACTGGCCAGCCCAAGCTGGAGGTCCAGAGCCACAGGACTTGACCTGTACCCCCAAGAGGCAGTGCTGGGCTGCCCCCACATCTGTGTCACCTGGGGTTTGGTTCTAAGAGATGCAGATTCTCGGGCCACACCCAGACCTGCCCTGCCATGGGAGACCCCTTGGGCAGGACCCAGCAACCTGAGTTTACACAAGGCCCCAGGGTGTTCCTAGGCATGAGGACCACCAGTTAGAGGGTGAAGTGACAGGAGCCCAACTCTATCCGCCCCTCCCAACCTGGCACTTCCTCAGAGATGGACCCAGGATGTGGCCATGACCCCTGGACTGTCCACTCGGGTCCACCTTCGACAGGATCCATGCGAAGTGTCAGCTAGCCAGCCTCGAGAAGGCAGTATTCATCTATGAAGCACATTCTCACATGTCACCTATGTCACTGCCACTGCTCGATGCAAACACCACCCACGCCCAGGTGCCAGTCAGAGTGACTGCCTGGGAATGCTAGCTCCGTGCCCACAGGAGCACCCAGGCCTAGGGGCTCGCCCACTGCCCACTGCTGCTTGTGGGAGTCCTGAAGGTCAGATTCCTTCAGCTCTCAGCATGCCGAGGTGCCATATTTTGGGGTGCTGTGCCCTGAACCTCATCAGAGAAAGACAAAGCAGGGGCAACAGGATGGTGCTTCTCGGAGGCGTCCTTTTCTCTGACCAGTGTGGGGGCGGGTCGGAGCCAAGTCTGGGCAGGGTATTGAGAGCCACAAAGGGACCCCGGGCAGACAATGAGTCCATCCCAATGCCGGCACTGAGACCTGGCCAGCCCCCGCCTGGCTGCCAGCAGCCCACACCGAGCGCCTGTCTGGAAAGCTCAGGGCCGTTGAAAAGATGTATTGCTCGTTCCAGCCAACACCTGACAGGGCCCAACCACCCTTTCTTGCAGTATTTACTATCAGGCTGATAACTGGGACCCTCCTGTGTCCTTTGAGATGCCCGTGCATCTCCGGAAGCCAGGAGAGTCTCCACAGGCCCTGAGAGCCACCTCTAAAACGTTGTCATCAGGAAGGACGGGGCCGTGGCCCCCAGCCGGCCTGACAGCACTCACACTGAACGCAGCTTTGTCCCCCGGCCCCAGACTCCCTTTAAAGTACCCGTCACCTCTGTGTGCTCAGAGTGGCCCCCAGCTCGCCCCTACCGCAGTGGGTACTGAGTAAAATCCTTTTCGCTGCCTTCACTGACGTCTGGATTTATCTTTTTCTCATTTGTTGTGGAGATGGCGTCTTGCGGTGTTGCCCAGGCTGGTCTTGAACTCCTGGGCTCAGGCGATCCTCCTGCCTCAGCCTCCCAAAGTGCTGGGACTGCCGGCATGAGCCACAGTGCCCGGCCCGGCTCTGTTTGTCCCGGCTGGTGTGGACTGAACCGGCCCTTCAGCCAGTCGTCCGTGGGACAGGCAGTCCCTGGATTGTCCCCAGAAAACTCAGTGGCTTCTTGTCGGTGGCGAGGAGAGACAGAGAAGAGGAAAACTCCCACTCTCGGTGGGACCAGTTCTGACTGCAGTGGGGGCAGCTCTGGGGAGTCTGTGCCCCTCCTCCCTGGGGACGCCCCCACCGAGGGAGCGGCCACGGGCAGCCAGGCTTCTTAGGCCTGGTCCGGCCCAGCTCTCTGCTCGGCCACTGCGCCTAGATTGGGAGGGCACTGGACCCCAGCCGGGCCATGGAGACCAATGAGGAATGAGAGAGACCAAAGCCAGAGAGAAACGTCCCTGGAAGAGAACGCAGGAGGCAGCTCCTGGGCTGGCACCCCCACTCCATACGAACCCCCTGGCTGTCGCTGCCACTCCGGGTTCAGGGTGGGGGTCTGGCCAGTGCTTGCCAGTTGAGAACTGGCCAGATAGGGCTGTTCCAGGGGACAGCCCAGCTCCCTTCTGCTCCAAAGGATACCCGGGCTGGGGGGCCGAGGGGAGCCCAGGCTGTCCTGAGGGGAAGCAGTGGTTCTCCCACCCCTGGAAACTTCCAGAACCCCTTGCCCAGCTGACCACAGGAACTTCAAGAAGTTAGCTTTCTGGAGTGTGGGGAAGGCTGCACCTCCCACGTCCCCACTCATCCTGGGGCACCTACCACTTCTTTAAGGGGTTGGAGCTGGCCGTAGCACGACGGCGCGGACAAAAGCCAGCCTGAACGGGGAGAGATCCGGCGCACGCAGCCGTGCTGGGCCAGGAGATTCCAGAAGCGGCTCCGCTCCAGACCCGCCCTGCACCGGCTCAGCTGCGACCCCGGCGCAGGCCGGCGGGTCCTCCTCCCATATTCCGCCTCGCGTCACCGGAGGGCGCCCGTTCCCCGTGCGGCCCTCGGGTCCTGACCTGCCAGGCGGGTTAAGGTGGAGCCACGGCCACCTGCGGACGCGGGCGCCCCTCCCCCGCTGTGGCTCGTCGCCGCGTGGTCCCGCTGAGGCCACCCCATCCCGCCTGGCCCTGGGTGCGCACCCACCTGCCCGGGCCAGCGCTTCCTCGCGGGTGCCCTCGGGGGTTGGCCACAGGCCTCGGGC